TCCCTTCACTGAAGTTTCTTCATGTGCTCAGTGGAATGAAGGGTAAGATTATGAATGCACACCATAAGGTAGATGCCATTGTTGAGAATGTCATCAATGAGCACAAGAAAAATCTTGCAATTGGGAAAACTAATGGAGCGTTAGGAGGTGAAGATTTAATTGATGTTCTTCTAAGACTTATGAATGATGGAGGCCTTCAATTTCCTATCACCAACGACAACATCAAAGCTATAATTTTTGTAAGTACTGAACATTACAGTTCTATCCTTATTCTTATTTAAGTATACATTAGATTACATTTCAAATTGGATGAGTGAAAAAAGTTATAAAAGGCAAATAGCACGTGCAATATAAATTAATATCGTAGCTTGGCCATAAATGCAGGACATGTTTGCTGCCGGGACAGAGACTTCATCGTCAACAATTGTGTGGGCTATGGTAGAAATGGTGAAAAATCCAGCCGTATTCGCGAAAGCTCAAGCAGAAGTAAGAGAAGCATTTAGAGGAAAAGAAACTTTCGATGAAAATGATGTGGAGGAGCTAAACTACCTAAAGTTAGTAATAAAAGAAACTCTAAGACTTCATCCACCGGTTCCACTTTTGCTCCCAAGAGAATGTAGGGAAGAGACAAATATAAACGGCTACACTATTCCTGTAAAGACCAAAGTCATGGTTAATGTTTGGGCTTTGGGAAGAGATCCAAAATATTGGAATGACGCAGAAACTTTTATGCCAGAGAGATTTGAGCAGTGCTCTAAGGATTTTGTTGGTAATAATTTTGAATATCTTCCATTTGGTGGCGGAAGGAGGATTTGTCCTGGGATTTCGTTTGGCTTAGCTAATGCTTATTTGCCATTGGCTCAATTACTATATCACTTCGATTGGAAACTCCCTGCTGGAATCGAACCAAGCGACTTGGACTTGACTGAGTTGGTTGGAGTAACTGCCGCTAGAAAAAGTGACCTTTACTTGGTTGCGACTCCTTATCAACCTCCTCAAAAGTGATTTAATGGTTTCAAGTTTTTATTTCCTAGCAAACCCCACTATTGTCCTATCTTTCTTTTGGTGTTTTCGGTTTTATCTACTCTAATACATGCATCTTTTACCATATAGGAATGTACCATGTTGTCGAATAACATTTTCTATTTATCTTNATATATATGTATATATATATATATGTATATATGTATATATATATATATGTATTTGACTAAAATAGTCAAATATAGAATAAAGTTACCATATACTATTGACATTTATTAAATACAACTTGATTATTTTCCTTGTTAAAATTGATATTTTTGAAAAAGATGTTCGTATAATTTACAATGCAATAGAAAAATTTATCTACCATAGCATCTCATTGTATCACGTGCAAAAAAAGTGATATAACAAACACATTTGGTTAGTATTTTTTTCATAGCTCAAGCTCATGTCAAGAATTGTCTATTTTGGGCTATATAATACACAAATTTGTTCCTTAGGTTATATCATATTAAATCCAAGAAAATTATGTCGGATGGACCTTTTCAAAACTACCATTTTTATTGACCTCGTTAA